CTGTCAAATTAAGCAGTTAAGGCAGCAGTTTCAAAAGTATTAAAAAAAATGTGTTTTGAAAAATTCAATAATTCAATTCTAATTACAACAGATAACAGAGAAGTGAGATTCCAAATGTAGTGACTAATTTTCGGCTATGACTAGAAATGGGCATTAGAAAGTCCATAAGAAAGTAATATAAGAAAGTCATAAGAAAGTCCCTTGAACGGTTAAGCATATAAATTAACAATCAATCAATCATCCATTTGATTTTTTTTATTTATGCAAATTGAAGAAAATATGCAAAAAAACTGTTTTTTTCCTATTGACCCCCCCCAACTGTTTTTCAGCACTGCGTGATCAATGCTCACTTGCGCTTCTCCTACCTGCACGGCTTCTATAATAACCGTTGTCTTTTTTTTCTCATTCATGAAATGCTAAAACTGGGGACATTTCTGAAGATATTAAAGCGATTTGTTCAAAAGATTTGTTCACTGAATCAGTCAGTACTTCGGAGCCTCGTCCTGCCAGTGCAGTACACAAGTGAGTGACACAGCGGCGACCTGCTCCCCCGCTTCCCTGCTGATGAAGTCACAGCATCGTTCACTGGGTGACACATGTCGTTCATTCGCCAAGTCCTTAAGGAAGAATCACTACCCTGCCCTCACTCACCTCTCTGTGTGTCACCGTCAGCAAAAAACAACACAGCAGCAAGCAGAACGCCTGCTAAACAAGCACAAGTTGTCGTTCTTGGGGAGATTAAAAATAAATAAATAAACATCACAGCTGTAGCAGGGATTCTGTTACGTTTAAAGATATCAAATAGCGTATTGCTTTAAATCGGCTAAAATTGAATCCTTCTTGCTTCTTGCAGATGTATGTGGTTCAAGTGGTACATCATTGGAGTCGTTGTCGTGTTTTACTTGTACACAGCATCGCAGTGTTTACAGCAAACCTCATTATTTTTCTGCTCAAAATGGTCCCACACTGCATTGCTTGTACACACACACACACACACACACACACACTGACTGGACAAAGACAGTATCCCTCCCCGATCAGCAGAGGTTGATCTTAGCTGGAAAGCTGTTAGCCCCTTTTTTAATAATGTTAGACTGATCAAAATTTTGCATGATCAACATAATTCCTAATGATCAATTTATCAATCATTGATTAATCGTACCGATTCCTAGCTATGACCAAGCCAACGATCATGAGACAGCCAAACAACAGGGGTGAATTTTCATAAGAGAGTTCTAAGAAGACACTGACAAACTGTTTGACCTGGGCGTCATAGGTCAAAGGTCAAAGTCAAAAATGAATCCGCAATTGCAGGTGCTTTAACAAACAGAAAGTTAAGACACCCTGGTTCGAGGACTGAATATCAAAGTAGTCAGGGGGGGATGAGTTATTAGGATGACTTTAGATTTGGAGACATTCAGCAACAAAACATCTCCAGACATCCAATACTTGAATTGAGTTGGACAGGAAATAATGGGAGACAAACTCATGACATGCATTTACAACTTTGCTCAACCAGAAGACATTTGTGAAATAAGATTTAATGAGAAAAGTGTCATCCACTATTTCCAACATAATGGCCCACTGAAAGATAAAACCTATTCTTTACTTTGAACATTTCTGTGGAAACTTCTGGTTACTTCACATGCCAATAAAATCTTTATTGGCACTGAGATGGATCTCAAAACATGACAGGCTTTACTGTGCAACATCAAAACTCCACTGAGAGCCAAAACATGTGTTTGGTTCTTATATCAATTCACAAGTAGCCTGGATAAAATATAAAGAAACAGAACAGCTGCAGTCATAACTACCACAAGGTACACAACATAATACAACTGATGTTTAGCCTTAAAGAAAAGAGCCCCCACCCTCCACTCCATTATGATTTATCATCAACCTACAAGGAAAAGACAGATTCAGAGTTTACTCCTTCCCTCCTCTTATTAATGAATAAATCTCTGTGTAATATACACATCAATAATGCATAAAAGTCTAAATATTCATATTAAAATAACCTCTCAGTGACTGCAGCTGAGCAGCATGGGGTCTGCCTGTTTAGTGAGGCGGTGTATTGGCTGCTCCTGAAGTTTCGGGGGGGGGGATGCTTATCCTCAATTTCCTCTTTTGTCCATGCATGCAGGGGTTTTCTCTGGGCACTCTGGTTTCCCCCCACAGTCAACAAACCTGCTCATCAGGTTAATTAGTCAATATGTGCGAGAGTGAGCCCTGGAATAAGCTCTTGCCCCCCCTAGCACAAAAGGGAACAGATGGATGGCGTGTGAATCAATCCAAAGACCAAGTTTAAAACACGATTACAAGAGCTGCACTCACAGTAAACCAGGTCTGACCTTCAGAGTAAAAACTGAATGAGGGACTTAAAGTACTCCTCACCTTTAAACACAGAGTATAATCACAAAGCAAACATCAGCAGACAGATGGAGAAGAAAAAGTCAGGTCTGTTTCTGTGAATCTTTCATTCAGGAGACATGAAGACAGCTGTAACCACAACATCTTATTATTGCTTATAACTCCAAACAAGCACTCATCAGACCCCTGTTAACAATTCATAAACCACTTAACAACTTTAATTTGATGTTAAATAATTTACGTCTGATGTTGTGGTTATATTCACTGTAACAAAAAGATCCGTAACCCTGAATTAGATTCATTCAAATGATCCTCGCTCCTTTTCAAATTGGACCAAACCTTAAAAAAATCACTTCTTGGTTTAAGAATTCAGGCATGAAACGATTAAGGATCACTTTCATCTCCCTCTCTAATGCTGCCTCCCCAGGACTCTGCAGGATTACAGGTATTAAGGCGAGCATTTACACCTCAGCTCCCCAGGAGGACCAGGTCTCTGGACTGAAGCACATATTTAATCAAGACTGCAGGAAACTCAGTTATGCTGCTAATAAAACATCCTGAGGTGATCTGGTTCTGAGTCACTCAGTAGGACAACAGAAACACTGAAGCCAGACTACAAAGCAGTCTACTCATGGATTAACTTTCGGTATAGTTTGTTAAAGACCTGCTCCGATGAAAATCATGTTTTTCTTGTTGCCTACATGTTAATATAGCATTTTTTCAATGCTACAAGACATATCATGTGAAAAGTATGTGCGAAACTGCATTTCTGAGTATTTCTGCATTTAAATCACTGTGAATCTCTGGGAGACCCAAATGGCAGGCTCAGACACAATAAAATTTCCTATGTGGCAAGTCCACGCTCCACCCCGGAGCTATGCAGGTCAGACACGGAGAAATAAAGTGGACTATCAGGGAACAAGCGTGTGCGAATGATTTTTTATGATATTATAATGATATTAACTTTCATCATGTCCCCAAAGGTATGTGTCCAACAGCTGAATAGCTCTTATGTTACCTGCTTCTTCCACTACGCTGGCAATATTAGGCTGCAAGCTAGCGTGAAAACAAGTTTGCAGAGCAGCGCTGTCTCCACCCGCAACTAAGAGGTGAATTGCTAATGAGCTACTGGAGCTCTGCAAGAGAAAAGTACTTGAAAGTGACACAGGTAAGGTGATTTTTGGTAAAAACTTTATAATCACAATTTAAAGACCACTGAGAACACTTTAAAAAAAGAACAATCAGAGTGGGACTTTAAACGGATCCATTGTTTAGAAATGAGGAGAAATGTTTGGCCTGCAGTCAGCGTCTCTCTCTCTCCTGCTCTCCTGCCTGCCTGCCTGCTGTCTTGGTCTTCACCTCTTTGAAGGACATGTCCTCTCAGTTGGACTCTGACTCTGCCAATATGACTCTCAGAGTTTTATCAGCAGACCCTGACATTTCACAACAGCAGAGCAGTCAGCCCTGTGAGTAAAGTCACAGTCTGTCCTCAGACCTGACACTTTGTGAGGTCAGTGTTTGCTCATAAATACTCACTGCAGGGAGGGAAAAAACAACTCCACAACAGCAGTGGGCCATAAACCAGTTTAAATACCGACATCAGTATCACTGTTTGCCACAACATAGAGAAAGTAAAGAAAAACCACTAAGGGGGCCAGAGTAAGTGATCACGTAGTATATTTACATGTGATGTTACCACATTAAAATACCATTGCTGTGAAAAGTAAAATAAACACTGTGATACAAAAATATAAACCCACATGGCCCACTCTTAGTCAACTACCACTAACACAACTTTACAACACAACAAACACAGTCTGTAACCTCAAAGTGAACCTCCTTTATGCTCCCAGGAGCACTTTGTGCGAACATTAAGAGAGTAAAACATCATAAAATTTACTCTGACTGGTCTTAATCCTGCTATAAAGAAACATTATGCGTCATTTAAGATCAGTAAAACAGGAAGCAGCAAACATCTGCAGCACTTAAACGGCAGCAAAAACACACAATCTGTGGATTCTTTAGACACAGCTGAATAAAAGCAGGAGCTTTATGTTGAAATATTTTCTCCTCTCATTGTTGAAGCAGAAATGTGTGAATCCCTCAGGCTGCAACACTCAGCTTTATGTTTCTCACTATTTCACATGAAACTGTTTCATCTCCTCCCACCTTCCCTCCATCCTTCATATGAACTCATGCCTCCCACAATCCCTCTCTCTCTCTCTGTATCGCTTTGAAAAGGACCTTGAGCTGACCCTCCTCTGTACGAACATGAATCACTGCTGATTATTCCTGAATGAAGGCCCACTTCAGATCATCAACTGGGCGCTGTACGCTGATCTTTTTCTTATCGACTCCAATAAGTGAGAGTGGAGACGAGCCGCTCGGTCAGCATCTTCTGCCTTTCTCTTCCTCGCCGCTCATTTTCTACAACAACTGTCTGAGTTATGGCTCCGCTGTGTTGAGTATGTGAAGGTGTTGGACTGTCGTATTTCAAACTGGCTTTTACATTAACTTCCAGTAACTCTGAAAATTTTCTTTGACACTCCTGCTGCTTGTCAATTTTTTGAAGCACTGAGATGGATGTTGGCTTTTCCACTGTGTAAAAAACGGCTCCATCTGCTCATTTAGAGGTCCGATGTCCATCCCTTGGGGTGATATGGTCAACAACAAAATAAAAAAATCTCTGTTTTCTTTTATTAAATTTGATGTATGTTTTTAATCAATTTCTCCTTATGTCCTAGAAATAAAACTACAAATGACCCAAAGACATGACTCCAAATACGGTGGTGTGTTGGGCTGAGTTTATGCTGTATGTTGCAGCCTCATGCTCCGTGGTTGGCTTGTTAACACTGCAGTGATTCATTTTTTGTGGTTTCTGTGACAGCTCTACAATGATAAAAATCCTCACTTTCAAACTTTTTTCTGTTTCCATGATCAGGTTTTGCAGAGAAGCTGAGTCTTATCAGCCTCACCTTCTGCAGCAGCGCTCAGATCTGATCTCACTTAAATAACGGAAGGAAATTACAAAGTCAAATACCAAGATCAACTATCGCTCTGTATCAACACAGGGAGATGTAAAAATGTTCAATCTTAGCCCAGAGGAGCAGCATTAAAATGTCGAAATGACAAGTGTGAAATCTTTTCATAAATACCTTTAATACCACGAATTTCAGTCTTTCTGCTGAGGATCAGATGTGCAGCAGAAACGGTGAAATGTCAGGGGTTGAATGAGGTTTAGTTCAGAGGCACAGATTAGTCCCACATGGCTGACAGCAGATAGAGCTGGCATATAGAAAAGACATGATCGCACAGAGTGGGAGATTCTCCAATATTGATATTAATAATGAAGGATTTTAGGGGCTGAGGGGCCGTGGAGGACGCTGCGCAAGATAAGGGCAGAATGAAGTGCATCCATATTTCATTAGATCACCACAGACACGATGATACAGCTGCTTTCCAGGGACAACATTTAAACAGCAGCAATTTCAATTAAAGGACAAGACTTAACTATTAAGGCTGCACGATATTGGAAAAAAATAATATTGCGATTTTTTCAACCCTGCGATATACACTCACCGGCCACTTTATTAGATACACCATGCTAGTAACGGGTTGGACCCCCTTTTGCCTTCAGAACTGCCTCAATTCTTCGTGGCATAGATTCAACAAGGTGCTGGAAGCATTCCTCAGAGAGCTTGGTCCATATTGACATGATGGCATCACACAGTTGCCGCAGATTTGTCGGCTGCACATCCATTATGCGAATCTCCCATTCCACCACATCCCAAAGATGCTCTATTGGATTGAGATCTGGTGACTGTGGAGGCCATTTGAGTACAGTGAACTCATTGTCATGTTCAAGAAACCAGTCTGAGATGATTCCAGCTTTATGACATGGCGCATTATCCTGCTGAAAGTAGCCATCAGAAGTTGGGTACATTGTGGTCATAAAGGGATGGACATGGTCAGCAACAATACTCAGGTAGGCTGTGGCGTTGCAACGATGCTCAATTGGTACCAAGGGGCCCAAAGAGTGCCAAGAAAATATTCCCCACACCATGACACCACCACCACCAGCCTGAACCGTTGATACAAGGCAGGATGGATCCATGCTTTCATGTTGTTGACGCCAAATTCTGACCCTACCATCCGAATGTCGCAGCAGAAATCGAGACTCATCAGACCAGGCAACGTTTTTTCCAATCTTCTATTGTCCAATTTCGATGAGCTTGTGCAAATTATAGCCTCAGTTTCCTGTTCTTAGCTGAAGGGAGTGGCACCCGGCGTGGTCTTCTGCTGCTGTAGCCCATCTGCCTCAAAGTTTGACGTACTGTGCGTTCAGAGATGCTCTTCTGCCTACCTTGGTTGTAACGGGTGGTTATTTGAGTCACTGTTGCCTTTCTATCAGCTCGAACCAGTCTGGCCATTCTCCTCTGACCTCTGGCATCAACAAGGCATTTCCGCCCACAGAACTGCCGCTCACTGGATATTTTTTCTTTTTCGGACCATTCTCTGTAAACCCTAGAGATGGTTGTGCGTGAAAATCCCAGTAGATCAGCAGTTTCTGAAATACTCAGACCAGCCCTTCTGGCACCAACAACCATGCCACGTTCAAAGTCACTCAAATCACCTTTCTTCCCCATACTGATGCTCGGTTTGAACTGCAGGAGATTGTCTTGACCATGTCTACATGCCTAAATGCACTAAGTTGCCGCCATGTGATTGGCTGATTAGAAATTAAGTGTTAACGAGCAGTTGGACAGGTATACCTAATAAAGTGGCCGGTGAGTGTATATTGCGATATTAAAAATACAGTATTTTCACCAGATGACCTGAATAGCACTTAATGTTATGCTGCACTGCTGAAATCTTGAGGACAGTTAATCTGCTCTGATCTTACCTCTTTTTGTGAATGTTAGTAGAACGGCTTCTGTCTGTCTCAGAGATATTTTTAGCTTTTATTGTGCTGGGACGTTATTGTGGCAACAGATGAACACAGAAGACGTGTTTCGGTCGACATCATCCTTCTTTTAACCGAAATAATTCCAGATAACTGACTTTCCTTTTCTTTTTGGCAACAAATCTTCATTTTCGGTGGTTTTCTCTTGTTCGTTGTTCATTTTGCGATCGTTGTTGTTGTTGTTAGCGGTGTTGTGCCGAGAAACGCATGTCCTCCGAGAATTGCATGCACCTCGCAAAACGCGCACTGCTTATAGTAGAGTGGTCCACGGAAATGTACAATTTAAAACCCATACAGTTCTTATTTGTTGGGCTTAATAGTCATGAGTACAGTTCCGAAAGTAATTCTCAGCGGAAACACGTCTCCCTCCATGTGCAGAACATGTGCAGGGGTGGGTTTTCTCCTCCCTGATTTGATTGACAGCTGGCAGGGTAGTCTGATTGGCAACTGAGAAGTGAGTCTGATTGGCAACTGAGTTAAGGACGAAGGCGATTGGTGGATTGCTGCACAGCACATGCAGAGTCACATGGAGTGTATCTCAGTCGGTTACCCTTGAAATTAAATGAGTTCATTCACCTCCAATATCGCAGGCTCTGCGATGTGACTATCGCACACACGTACATCGCGATGACGATAGTCAAACGATATATCGTTCAGGCCTATTAACTATCTTCATAAATGTCAGAACAGCGACCCTAACACTGGGCTAAATGTAGCTTTTGAGCACCTGGACTAGCTGACAGGGGAAAAATCTGCCTCTCTCTCTCTCTCTCTCTCTGTCTGTTCTCAGTTAATTTATCGCTCAGAGGGACAGTTTGAGTGTGAGACAACAAACAGTAAAAAAGAAAACAGCAGAATAAAGATGTCTTTGAGCTGGCAGTCAGACCACACACACAACCTCCTCTGACACTGAGTCATGGAGGAAATGATTTTTTAAAAGTACACCATGCATGCACAAAGCCAGCAGAGGAATCAGGAATCATCTCTAACTCACTGAACTTCAGACCTTTGCTGCACCGACAGCTGCTCAGAGTGAGAGTCTCGGACAAAGAGAGATTTAACCCTCTGAAACCTGAGGATGCTCTCTGATGCAGAGACAAACTGAGCCTGACCATTCAGAGCAAGTCCTCCTCTAAGATCCACTTTTAACTCATTTAGGCTACGTTTTAAAGCTCAACGTGTATCCCCCACTTCCACTGTTCACCTGTGTCTCAGCTCTTGTTTATGATGACAGCATCAGCTGATCACCTCTGAATAAGCCCTCAGTCAACTTTAAAGGGTTATTCCAGCGTAAATTTAAAGACCTATTCTAATGAAAATCATGTTTTTCTTGTTTTTATATGTTCATATGGCATTTTTCTGATGCTAGAGGACATCTCAGGAGAAAAATATATGCAAAATTGCTTTTATTGAGTATTTCTTCATTCAAATCGCTGTGAATCTCTGGCAGACCCAAATAGCAGGTTCAGAAACAGTGAGATTTCATACGTAACCAATCCAAGCTCCGCCCCAGCTATGCAGGCCACACTCTGCAAATAAACTAAGATGCTGAGGCAGAAGAACTACCGCGTTTGCAGTGCACATACAAGATACACAAGAACTCTGTTTGCACTTTCATGAGGTTATAATCAAAAATGTTCTTCCTTGAGCTGTGAAACTCCGCTGCACTTGGTGATCAACTCATCAGGGCTGCAACATTCTCTCAAGAAGGTGTCTAACTCGGTGTTATGGTGTGTTTGACCATAACTTAAATTTACTCCGAAATATCCCTTTGTCGGCTGTTTCTGTCTGCACATAGGTGCACCATTATAACTCTTATATAATAACAGTGTTTTGTCTCTGTGCATTACAAGTTTAAATACACCTGCACATTAAGAACAACCTGCACTTTATTAACTTGTTTCATGCTTAGAACCATATGGATCAATTTACCGGTAGGTTACACCATTTTTTAAATTATTTATTAAATATTGGTGCTAATGTTCATTGTCTCTATTTTATTGTGAACTTTCAATCCCATTATTAAAGACTATGTTGTACTTAGTGCCTAACTTTGCAGGTCCATTTTTGCTTCTGGGACAAAAGAGACTGAGTTGGGATCCAGAGTTAATCGACCGTTACCTGTTAATGTTACTCGCAGACTGCTCTTTTCTGATTAGTTGAGTTAAAATGATGAGCTGTGATTGGATAATGAGCTCTTGTCAGCTGCCTGCTTTGGTTTTCCTTAATAAATCCATCTGTACTCCTGGTATGTAGAGAGCTCGGCTCTGCTGCCAGGCCTGAACTCCCTGAGCCCCCCCACCACCACCACCACCAAACAAATGTCTCCACAGCTGTCACTGTCCTCTCACCATCAGCATGCACACTCATGCTCAACACTGACATACCATCTATTGTAATGACAGAGTTAGTATCACATTTTTAATCATGAAAGAAACCTAACCAATCTAACTGATGTGTCTCTGTACTGTCACTTGATTGATCAATAATATGAAGAATTAACAGACTACAGCGTCAGTTTGTCTACTGAAGCTGTTTAATAACCTGGAGGCACATCCTGATCTCTCCATCAAACTTCATTTATCTTTTTCTTTAACAGCTTATCTGCAGATTTTAATGACTTAAGGTCATACATTTTCAATCTTCAAGTTTTTCTTTCACCGACATTGTTAATACTCCTGCAAACGTGAACAGTAGAAGATTTAATATTGTTCCTAACCAGCTTCTCTCAGCTTTAACTATTGAAGGGGGTTAAATCACCACAGAAATGCAAAGTTTGAGGCTGAATGAAGTGTGAGATAGCAACATCTCATGCAGATATAGTTCTGTTTCCCTTCACTGCAGCCAAAGAGACTTGATGTGATGAGTGTGTGTGAGCTGCTGCAGATGTGTGTGTGTTTCTGTCTGCAGAGCAGAGAGGTTTCAGAGTTTAGAAGAGAACAGGCTGAGAGGCTGCGGACTAACTGTGATTTTTCCATTACAGTATACTTCCTAACTGTCACTCACTTATAGACAGCTGAAGCTCCTGATGTATGAAGGTGTGTGAGATGATTGACAGCTCAGAGGCTGCAGGAACACACAGATAAACGTCACACTGAGGACAGAGAGCTCATTTAAAGAACTGTCAAACAGGAGATAAATCCATGGAGCTCAACTCATGAGAGGCAGCAGCACCGTGAAACCTAAAGAGCTAAGAGTCCACAGTCAGCGTGAACAGAGGAAACACAATGTCATTCAGCTGATAGTCAACAGTCTGTCTGTTCATAATGAGACTGGAGATCCATCACTGGGCAACAACATCATTACTGAGTGACTTCATATTAGCAAATAGCTTCTCCGACTCCCATTGACTTTGCTCTAATATTATGTTGATGATTTCATGATTTCTACGACATTAAAGATAAAATGTGATAAATGTGTCACAGCAGAGGAAACACTAAAATCTACAGAGTCAGATTCTCATCTTTTAATACCTAATTACTGATATTCAAATCTCCATTTAGCTGACAACGACCAGAAAGAGTGCTTTGTTGTGCAGTTAGAAGATAAAGATGTCTGTTCTCTTTATGTCGTATTATATCCACTTGGTTGAGGTACTTCCAATGTTGTATGTTATGATAGTATTTTTATCCAATCCCATTTCAGCTAACTTGTGTTGTCAGGTGCTTTGAAATCTGCCCAAGGCCTTCAGAATCAACAGAACAGGCTCCTGTGTGCTGTAAGTGAACAGACAAAGTAGGGCTGGCTTGACAATTATGGCAAAAATAATAATCACAATTATTTTGACTGATGTTGACATCACGATTAATAACTTGCAACAATAACTTGCTCATGCTAATACTTGGCGCACTCGTGTTGTGTTGTCCGTGTCCGCACGCGTAAACTGATACATATGAGTCTGAGTTAGAGCAACGTACAAAAAATTAAGGCTCCTAAGTTGTTCTACCTTACTTCTCAGCCAAAACAGCCTTCCTGCCATGTTTTTAATTGCTTGCTCCCCATGTTATTGATCCACACATGTCACACACTTGCTGCAGCTGCACGTAACAGGGGTGCATTCAAGGAGCTCTATTTTTGTGCACTCTGGTGATGCGGCGGACAGTGGCGGACCCCATGCAGTGGTATTTTCGTCTGGCAGAGCCCAGCGTACAGCCAGTTTGGTATTTTAGCAGACTGAGGTGCGCCAAGGTCCGCCAAGCTGGGTGTGGAGTCGTGGCAGGGGGAGGTGTTGACACAATCAGCTGGCGCAGTGACATTTTCGTGCTCACCGGCGGCATAGAAAGTGCGCTGAAAGCTCGCTGATTCAAACCTGGTCAGCCTTCAGTGCAGGCGGAGCGCAGCTGGTCTAGTGGTGTTTTGGTAGACCGGCAGCATAGTGCGCATACGTCACTGATGCCTCACTGGCGGGTTCCCAAAGTGTCAGGCACATTTCAGAGCAATAAATAATCAACAACAACCAATATTCTGTGTCAGCACATACATTTAGATCTATGGATATATTCTGATCTATATCTGATCTGATGAGCGTGTTTGGCACGCGAATTAACACAGATGACACCGCATAAAATAAAATATCCAGAAACAGTCACACATGATGAAGTTAACAAGATATTTAATTTGTCCCCCTTTCTCTATTCCTCCTTTTTCTCGTGCAGCTCTACTGGGACATGTCTCTGTGCCCTCTCCCCGTTCTGATGCTGCAGCGGCAAGGCTGAACAGATGATTTATTTTAGTGATCAGATGAATAATTTACTATGAAAGACAAAAAAGTACAAGAAATTTTCATTCAAAATAACCCGTCTATCTATTGTCTGTACATCCTTAAAATTCTGTGAATATTCAAGCCGGAGTTAGGCTTACACACGAATATTATAATATTCAGTTGTGTGAGCTAAAATCATTCTTTATGCCAACATCAATGAAAGAGAGAGCCAGGCCACTGAGCACGATGCGTCCTTTACGCACAGGTGGTTCCGGTTTGATGTGATGTGTGTATGATGTGATCTCTGCGCACAACCCACTTTTGTCACGTCATGTTTAAATATATGCAACTTTATGTGAGTGTCTTTATTTGTGGAAAAGGATGTTTGTCTTACCAGTGGGTTCAACATTACACACACCAAATCCATCTGTGCTTATATGAGAGAGTAGTGCTGGACGATAATTCGATAACAATATATATCGATCGATAGACGTGTGGTGCGATAGAAAAAAAACGGGTCGATAAAAAGTTCGATAGAAAAACACAGTTTCCCTTTCTTTTTCATCATAGCCTATCATGTAGCTTTTACTACAGTCATTACTTCCTCCCAACCAATCACAAACGCAGACCCAGGTACGCTACAGCACCAAGCCCAGCCCCTCTCAAACCACAACAGACAGCACGTGTATTAGAAAAAATGTTACAGCAAGGAGAAGCGGAGGAAATTGTCCCGAAAAAAGGTTTCAGTAGTTCACCAGCATGGCAATGTTTTGGTTTTTACAAGTCTGACAAAAAGCGAACAGCGGTCGTTTGCAAAATTTGCAGAGAATTAGTAAAAACCAAGTCTGGTAACACAACCAACTTGTTCTACCATCTAAACCGATCGCAGCCGCAGGAGTACGAGCTGTGTCGGCCGCGGCGCGGCTCCACGTCGTCGGAGGAGGAATCCTCTGGAACCGCTGCCAGCACCAGCACAAAGCATGTGAAGCAGACCAAACTGGACTTCGTTTCTTGCCAAAATACGACCAAGCGGCATAAGGACATCACCCATGCAGTGACATGCTGCCAATAACTACCGTTGAAAAGCCTGGCTTCGACCAGCTTCTAGCCACTCTCGACCCGCGATATGAAGTGCCCGGCCGCAAGTATTTCTCAAACACAGCGCTTCAGGCATGAAAACGGGTCAGGGGTTGAAAAGCTGAGAAGGGTGCGGAGGAAATACGTTCCGGTGTTGTGCTGTAGAATGCACCCCTGCATCCCGTCCACTCATTAGCTTCTTAAAGTGGAAGAAAATTAGCTCATACGCGAGTATTTGGATCATGGCTACTAGCAGGGGGTGCGTTCGGCAGGGGTGCATTCTACGACACAACACCGGCGTGGATAAGTCCTGCTTCTCGTGCTCAGTTTGCGTATTAAGTCAATCATATGATAATTAAAAAAAGAAATCTCCCGACCCCGGGAGACACCAGGCTGTGGGCAGTTTCCCACACAGTTAAAACTGGTAGTATGCTATTCCCACCTAAAGCTATTCTGTTTATTTATATATTTGTTTGTTTTGTTTATTTTCATCAAAAGACTATTTAAATATTTATTTATCAGATTTTCTGTTCACTTTAGTCTTTATGTTTGTCAGTATTTACTGACGTCACTCAGGCCACTTAAGTTGATTTCTTTTTTTTTTTTAAGTTCTTTTTTAAAAAAACTTTCAGTTGTGGTAAAAAATAAATAAAAAGGTGGTTGAATAAAGGTTTGAATTTGATTTTAGTGCTTGTGTGTTCTTTATTAAAAGTAGGTCATTAAGCAATAGCATAAAACATCCAGGGCTGCAATTAAAATATATGTTAAATAATTATAATAATTATATCGATAGTTATCGATATCGATCAATATGATATATTTTTTATCGATATGCTTTTTTTCTATATCGTCCAGGCCTATGAGAGAGTGTGGAGGATGCCCTCTGAAGCGCTTACTGTGACACTTGTTGAGGAGCTGCATTCTGTCGCCATTGTGTGGCATTACTGTCTTCAGACATCTCTTGATCTCTTCGACTACTGCACGAAAAATGTAATACGCCTCACCAGTGGCAGATTTAAAGGTGAGGAGAGCAGCTGTTATGATTGGCGGAAACAGGTCTCGGCTGTGTTAAACCCACTCCATGCCCTCTCTCCTCCCTCCCTACGACTTACGCCACTGGGAGGAGCTTAGTTAGGCAGGGGGGATACTTACCCCGGGCTGCGCCGCTCGCCAAAATACCAAAATGTGCTTGGACACGCCTTGTCCACGCGGCGGACCCTGACTTACGCCGCGCCTGCGCCACGTCGCCTCGAATCTGCGACACCAAGGCCAGCTAGAAGGTCTTATGCTGAACTGGATATGTACGCGTCCTGTGACTGGATAAGCACTTGTGAGAACCTAAAAAGGCGGAACTTTGCAAAATATCAAACTAAACCCAGAGATCAATTAGCTACCAACAGCTACTGCTGTATTTCACCAGGGTTTTTCCTGCGTTCAAAATTGCGTGGCGGCCGCCTCCACCTAATTTTGTGCCGCCCCCAGTCAGAGCGATTGATTTCGCTCAACACAGCGTAAAGCTCCAGCTGTGTTGATTGAGCGTATGATGTCCCTCTGCAGCAGCAACGTATTTCAACTGCAGTTGCAGCGTTGCGCCACTATAGAGGCGCTATATCAACAGCAGTGCACCGGAAAGACTTGAAGCATCTACCGAAGAAGAAACGGATCGAATCATGTTTTTTCAAGTGTTTTTCCCGCTAGTTGGTGCTATCCGCGTCCTGATTTTCCCTGGCGGATGGTACAAACAGGTAAATACTGCTTCTCTTTTTTGCATCCAAGCATGTCGTGTTTATTTAAAAAAAAAGTTTACTCCGTTTTTAGCGTTGCAGATATGACAGGCAAAATCAGCCAGTACTTTAAAAAGCGACCTCGCGAGGAGGAAAGTCAAGAGTCCAGGTGAAACACAGCAGAGAAAAAACGTAACAGGCAGTTAAAATGCTATAATTCATGTTGGTGACAACGTGGAAATTTGTGTCAGGTCTGAAAGTACTTCACAAGGGACTGGTGATCGCGAGGGTCAGAATGCAGGACAGGACGAGTCGGCGAGGCGAGGGTAATTAATTAATTAGATTTCAATTAGGAGCATAACAACGCAAAGCCGACGTGTACGTGGTTTTTATTCCTCTTTCCAGATCTTCTCAAAAACACAGAGCCAGTGGCTTTGACAAGCAGTGGCTCAATCAATTTACCTGGCTCAGGCATACTGAGGAAGGCATGCACTGCTATTTATGCCAAAAGCACTGTGCCCCAACACAGCAGGCAATTGCTGCCTCCTTAGTGAGACAGCCATCAACCAACTACAGGCTGGACACATTAAAAAGACATGAGGTGACAGCCATTCACAAAGCAGCAGAAGAGAAGGAGAAATATATTAAAGATGGTAGTACCTAAAAAAACTCAACTAATAAAGTTACAAAAAATAAATAACATAGTTTAGATAGTTTAAGAAAGAATTGGTTGTCGTTTTTTTTTTTTTAGAGAGGACACTGCAGCGTATACATATATATGATTGAAAACACTATCACTCTTCATGTCTGTATCAGAATAAAAACAAAAATACTTAATGCATGATGAACTGTTTTGTTTAAGGTGAAGACACCTCTGTGGAACAGACTGAAGGAGAGGCACTTGGATGTCTGTTGTAAGGTGGCCGTTGATGGACCAGACCAGGAGGCCTTGGACTACAAGGAGTGCATGAGGAGGTTCTACAGAATGAAAAAGAGGAGGCTGAAATGTTCTGTCTGGTTGTGAGATGTGTGGATGAAGTGTACTTTCAATTTAAAGTTGCCAGCTGATTTGTGTATGTATATAGTTTTAATAAATGAATGCTTTAACATAATAATGGTCACACTCTTTTTTGAACTCTTAACTTAAAGTATGTTGCCTGTAAAAGAAAGTGAATCGGTTGAATTTACAAATACATGCACGTCGTGGCGCACGGTCAGGATGGTGCCACCTCCGCCTCAATTTGAGCCAGGAAAAACCCTGTTCACTGTATAGAAATACAACCGCACAGACACAGCTTCAGTATTAGCCTCTATGACCATAGAAAAGTATGCAGAAAAACTGTACAACAGAACCGTTGAAGTCTTCTCCAGAAAAGAAAGGAGGATGGGCTTTATTTTCAAATGAGCAGGCGCTATGGAGGAGATCTGTATTCACTCTTAACTGTGAATGTGTGTTTATTGGTTTAAATGCTCCGGAAATTAAGTGCTGCTCCACTAGCCTATATTAAGGTGATGTAATGTGTAGGTGTGATTCTGATGGATTCTTGAGCCATGGTGTCATATTGATGATATTATGATGTGTATTAATTTAGGTAGGACAGTGGAACGGCACTGAAGGCCTTGGCGTGAAATGCACGGCCCACCACGAGTAGAAACAAAGCTTGAACAGTGAGTTTAATGGATGATGATCTGCTCTCTGTGTGTCTTTCAAAACAGATCCAAACAACAAATGAAGGATACTGACAGAGGAGATAAGTCTCCACCGCTGAGGTAGAAACTGGAGCAGAGCTCTGGCAAACGAGGAAATCAGACAGAGACAGGAATAAATAAGTGCAAGATGTTTTCACTAATTACTGACAAAACCAGCAACTGTTCGATATACATGTGTACGATAACTGACAATCTTACAGTAATGAAGGCTTCAGGGTCCTTTACTGTGACTTTTGCGTGGATGTGTTTTAGGAGCAGCAGGGGAGACTGCATTTAAATGCTGATGGGATATTAATTCATCTCTCCTGAAGCTAGACATACACACACACGCACGCACGCACACACGCACACAGCAGACACATGACACGTGTTAGGCAGGAGGCTATCAAAGTCCTCCTGCAGGTGCTGATACACTTTAACTGAAGTGCAAACACACACACACACACACACACACACACACACACAGAGGTAATGAGCATCAGAGTCACTAAAATATTCTTTGTGTTTGTTTTGATGTCTGACAGAGCAGGATCTGGCGACTTCATTTACAGTTAATTTTCTGTATTTCATGCCACAGACACATCAAAACTCACGGCAGAGCTCTAACTCTCACACACACACACACACACACACACACACACACACACACACACACAGAGTTAGTCTTCAGAAACACTGTCTCCGTTTGATCCTGAAACAAATAATGTGATCAAAACAACCTGTAATTTCATCTTCATCCAGACTGTGTTTGGGAGAGAGTTTCAGAGTTGGACTGAAGCAGCTTTTAAAATAAAAGAGAAATGTTCAAGCTGACAGCAGCGGACATGTCTGCAGCAGAACTGAGTGTTGTGGAGTAAAGCTCTGTGATCTGAACTCTTCTGATGGAGGACTTCTTTGATAACAGCCTGCACTTTATCAGAGAAACATTTCTCATACTCTAATAATGATAATAATAATGAGAAGAAGAAGAGTTATATTACAGGAGACCTTAGTCTAAACACACTGCTGGGTCATGAAAAGAGAGGAAAGAAGACTGCTGCAAGGATGTCCACACTCACAGATAACACTTTGAGCCGTCTCAGTGTGTCAGGACTTCACACTGTCCCGCTGGGAAACTGAGAGGTGCACTAAACAACACTCTCACAGATGTTTCCCACCCCTCATGCACACTGTCAGAGAGTCCGTATTTCTGCAGACTCTGTAATCTGACACTTGTTCTGCTCAGAATAAACTACAGAAAGACACACAAACTGGATTATTGAGGACATGTGCTGAGATTTTCAAACTCACTTAGGACAATACTGATAAAACACCTTTTTGTGTCAAGAACATCAAGTTATCATCAGGTTACTTTATGTTTTTAGTGTGGGAGGCAGAGGTGACATCTGGCTGAAGATCACAAATGTGTTAAGTTTTGTGGTAAGAGACAAATCCTGTCAACAGACCAGGATCATTTCTCTTGAATGGCTG